GGAGCTGGCAAGGTGGCCAAAAATGCCTTCAGGAGAAGTATAAAGGGGTCTCCAGGGTTTAGGGGTTTAGGGGTTTGGGGGTTTGCGGGTTTAGGGTTTAGGGGTTTAGGGGTTTAGGGGTTTGGGGGTTTGCGGGTTTAGGGTTTAGGGATTTAGGGGTTTAGGGGTTTAGGGTTTAGGGTTCAGGGTTTAGGGTTTAGGGGTGTGGGGGTTTAGGGTTTAGAGGTTCAGGTTTCAGGGTTTAGGGGGGTTTAGGGTTCAGGTGTTTAGGGTTTAGGTTTAGGGTTCATGGTTAACTAGCGGTTTATAGGCACATTTCGCTCATAAGGCTTATAAAATTAAGTTGGGTTTCTAACATAAGGCTCAAGTAGTTTTGTTTAGCCGACAGTATTTACATATCGGTGATCTTCGGGTCCCAAACCCAGGGTTTGGGGCATTCAGCAAAAGACCTGATTCTAAGGGTTCAGGGCTTAGGGTTTAGGCTTTATAGTTAGGGCTTAGGTTTTCCCTTCGACCAACAAAAAGCCAGCGGCGTCGAAACTGCTGCCAAACCCCAAATATGGTGCTCCCTACCCTACCCTACCAAACTGCCCGTGAACAACAAGCTACCTGCGAGACCCATCAAAGGAAACCTCCACTACAAAACCCCCAATTCAAAACACAACTACATATGATGCCCACTCTAAGCTCCTAGCTCCTACAGCCCAAAACTCTATTCAACTTCCCCTCAATCCCCAGTGGCACTTGTGTTCCACTGAGGGTCTGTGGTGTTTGGGGTGTCGATCTCCGTCACCTGCCCCATGTTCCTCCTTCTCATCCTCCTCCTTCTACTTCCTCCAGTTCCGCCTTTTCGACGGCATGGGTAGTCTTACAGTCGTCGTCCCTTCATCGTCCCCACACCATCCTCATCACTATCAGGCAAGCATCACCATCATTATCATCATCCTCGTAGTACGGTTGTTCAAGCTGTCACTACTGGTCACCGTCGTGGTCATCGCAAGCAGAGGTCATGACGACAGTTGGGACAACCACGTCCGATGTTCCTAACCACCCGCCTCCCCGACACGCACCATCAGCACAACGACTAACTTACCCGAAGTAGCAGCAACCCTTCATTTCCCTGGTGTTACCAGTTTTGGTCTTCGGTGTGCGGTTGGATTAGACCAGAGCATCGCTGCATTGGGAATGTGACAAGGCCCATCCACAGCCAGATCGGCCTCATTGGCACAAGGGCTTCTACAGCAAGCCTTTCAAGGAGACTGCTTCCTATTATGTGTTGTGGCTGTAGGTTGATACTGATAGTGGAATCTGTAGCCATATAATCATTTGCAAACCTTGTTGCTGTCCGCGTCTTGGGTTTCAGCAGTATGCATGCATGCATGCATGCATGCATGTCTGTCTGTTCGTCCGTCTGTCTGTTTGATTGATAGCTTCTTTGCTGGTTGGTTGGTTTGTTTGCTTGGTTATCCCTAAGCCCGAGACCCTGCTTGTTTGTTGCCCTGCCCTGCCTTGCCCTGCCCTGTCCTGCCATGCCAGGCCATGCCATGAAGGACTCCATAGGACACCAGCCCCAATGTTCTTGGGTTCCTAAAGCTTTCATCGGCTCATCCACATGACTTTACGGTTTAGGATCTAGGATTCGGGGTGTAGGCGTTCAGGATCGGAAACCCTGAATTTTGACAGCCGTTTCGGGTGCTAGTCTGGGCTAAACTGTACTATACAATACTCTGCTGTGCTATACCGAACCCTAAACCCTAAACCTAAACCTCTAAACCCCCAAACCCCTAAACCCTAAACCCCTAAATCCCTAAACCCTAAACCCGCAAACCCCCAAACCCCTAAACCTAAACCCCCAAACCCCTAAACCCCTAAACTCCTAAACCCCTAAACCCCTAAACCCCTAAACCCCTATAACCCCTAAACCTAAACCCCTAAACCCCTAAACCCCTAAACTCTCAAGTCAAGAGCTCTTGCGGT